AATGCAATATGTCATCTGATTTCTTGACTGCTGCCTCCATTGGTGTTGACTGTGGAACCATGTGATGTGAAATCTTTGACAACTTCAATCTTTTCTCCAGTTATCGTGATGCTGCTTATTGGTCCAGTTGTGAGGACTTTTGTTTTCTTTATGTTGAGGTGTAATCCATACTGCAGACTGTAGTTTTTAATCTTCATTAGTAAGTGCTTCAAATCATGTTCACTTTCAGCAAGCAAGGTTGTGTCATCTGCATATCACCAAGTTGTTAATGAGTCTTCCTCCAATCCTGATACCAGGTTCCTCATATAGTCCAGCTTCTCAGATTATTTGTTCAGCATACATATTGAATAAGTATGGTGAAAGGACACAACCCTGACAGACACCTTTCCTGATTTTAAACCATGCAGTATCACCTTGTTCTTTTGAACAACAGTTTCCTGGTCTATATACAGGTCCCTCACAAGCATAATTAAGTTCTGGAATTCCTATTCTTCTCAATGTTATACATAATCTGCTATGATCTACATAGTCAAGTGCTTTTTCATAGTCAATGAAACACAAGTAAACATCTTTCTGGTATTATTTGCTTTCAGCCAAGATCCATCTGACATCAGTAATGATATTCCTCATTCCATGTCCTCTTCTGAGTCCAGCTTGCATTTCTAGAAGTTCCCTGTCAATATATTGCTGCTGCAAATGTATTTGAATTATCTTCAACAACAACAACAACAACAACAACAAAATACTTGCTTTTTTCATATAGAATGCATTTATCTTTAGGTAACTGAACACCCAATTTTAACTGGCTTAAGCAATAAGGTCATTTGCTTAGTTCTTTAGGTTTAGCTGGGAGCTCTGGTAACACAGTGCCTAAGGCACTTGCCTACTAACCAGAAGGCTGGCAGTTCAAACCCACCAGCCACTCCTTGGAAGGAAGGTTGGTCAATCTACTTCCATAGTGATACTGCCTCAGCAACACAAGGAGGGGTTGCTATAGGTCAGGTCCAACTCGACAACACATAACAACAACAACAACATAGGTTTAACCACAGAATGAGCGTGAATATGGACTTAATCTACAGGCTCAGGATGTTCATGGCACTTCACTGCCACTTGTAGTGGTTTCATTTTCAGATGTAGCAAAATGCCTGCGTCAGATCTAGGGCAACAACTACAGGAAGGGAACTTTCCCAAGTCTCATTGGAAACTTGAGTCTCATTGGCCCAAAGCAGATGAGATGTCCTTTCCTGAATTAACTGGTTAGGGGGATAGCATTGTTATGATTGACAGACTCATCAGGGCCACCCCTGCTAGCATCAAACTCTAGTCCACTTGAGTACTATAAATGGAAAAGAAATAGAATTCCTTAGGTGTCAGGGGGCTATAGGTACCACAAAGTGCCCAAAAGTAGTGAACTCCATTAATTCATTTGACTCCGATTCCAAAATCTGCATCAACATGAGTTACACTCTTCTTCATGAGATATTTTTCTTTAATGTTATACTTTATTTGCAATATTAAATCAACCTTTACAAAATAATACAGAGAGTACACTTCCTGATTCTGTTTACTTCCTTAAAAAGCACAAATGGTAATATGACTAAAAACAAAATCAAACTCACTGCCATCATGTTGGATCCAACTCATAGCGACCCCTCCTTGGGTTTCCGAGGCGGTATCTCTACGGAAGTAGATTGCCCAACCTTACTTCCGAGGAGCGGCCAGTGGATTTGAACTGCCAGCCTTCTGGTTAGCAATCAAATGCCTTAGGTACTGCACCACCAGAGCTCAAACAAATGGTAATATACCAACTCTTATTTATAAGTAAAATTTAAGATTGCTGAATTTATGTAAGAAAAAAATAAATTCTAATTATCATTGTTAAACTATTAAGTTAAACTATTAAGTTGTTCTGGGTCTTGAAAATTTTCTGCCTTTCACAAGGTACAGTCTTCCCACTTTTCTAACACTTATTTTAATCCTCAACCAAACCAAACCTATTGCCTTTGAGTAGAACCTGACTCATAGCAACTCTACAGGAAACAGTGCAACTAATCTTTAAGGAAGCAGAGTGCCAAACCTTTCTTCCACAGAGTGTCAAATGGGTTTGAACTGAGGACATTTTAGTTAGCAGCTGAGTGCTTAACCACTGCATCACCAGGGCTCCTTCACTCATTTTAGTGGAAATATTTGAGTTTTTCTTTTCTGATAGGTTTCTGCCTTATACAGGTTACAGCTTTCACAGAAATTACTGTATAATAAATGTAATAATATAGTGGTATGTATGAAGCACAGCAATAACTTGGAATTAAATGACTGATCTTCTTTGGACTTTCAGGGAAAAATTCAATAGTAGGACCCTGAGCTCAACAGGGGAGCTCTGGTAGCATAGTGGCTAAGGCACTTGCTCAACAGACCAAGCAGACAAAAAAATAAAAATAAAAACAAACCAGAAAAAGAAGTTTGAAGATTGTATGTTTGGGGAAAAGCAAAATAATACTTGTAGTGTAAAAGACTGTACTTCAATCTTTGTACTGTGATGGCTATTATATGTTTCAATTTGACTAAACTATGGTGCCAGTTGATGGATCAAATAGCCATCTAGATGCAGTTATGAAGTAGTTACACATAATTAAATCAGTTAACCTTAAACAAAACAAATTATCCTCCATATTATCCTCCTCATCTAATGAATTGAAGGTCTGAAGAACAAAAAGCGATTTTCCCTAGGGAGTAGTCTGCCACCAGACTATAAACAGACATCTTGCTAGAACTCCTGCACTGTTGCCACTGCCTGACCGATGGATTGGGACACAGGAGTATAAAAAGCTCCAGCCTGTCACCTCACCTACAAATATTGGACTTAACAGCCCCCCACCAATCATGAGGGCATGTGAACAAATTTCTAAAATTCTCTTTCTCTTTTTCTGTTTACACCTCTTTTCCTGTGTATTGGTCAATAGCACTCCAACTACCTTTCAAATGTGCCCCTATTCATACACCATACCTATGACGCAAAACTTGATCCCATTCGCCATTTCAGTTTATATTTTCTGAGGTATATATAAGGTTAACATTTACACCTGGTAGGTACACCTGGTAGGTAGAACAATCAACCATGGGAGATCAGAAAGGCAGTATTTGCACAGGAAGATAGCTCAGAGGGCAGGAATACATAGGATAGAAGGACACAGGGAAAAGGTAACCACAGGGAGGAAGTGGGAAGAGAGCTGTTACATTATGGGGATTGCAAACAATGTCATAAAACAAAATGTGTACAAACTGTTGTATGGAAAATGAATTTGCTCAACTAAATTTTCACCCAAATCACAATAAAAAAGAAAAAAAATGTTCCTTCATGCCACAAGATGATTGGTAATAAAAAAGAAAAAGAAAAAAAGTATATGCCTCTATAGGGCTATTTTCATTTAGGACAATTATAATATTTTGTTTTGTGTAACTTAATTTTCCCTGGATATGTGGACATAAACGGAGTTACATTCATAGGGCAGAACCACTTTTCTGGCTCTGGGACAAAACCACTAACAAAATCCTATAATTCCCCTAAAAAATTCACTCTACTGGTTTTGGGAATCCCTAAAAGGTGCTTGAATATTCACAGATAAATCTAAGCAGGTATTCTTTCAAGTGCCTTAGGCACTGGCCATGTCTCTTCTCACCTCTTCCCAGAACTCTGCTGGAAACCACCATGTCCACTGAGCATGGCACCTTCTCCTGTCTCCAATGGCCTACATTTCTCACTAAACACCACTGATATTTCCAGCCTAGAAACTCACAAAACTTTCAACATGTACTATTCCTCACAGATGAAAGAGAGAGTGAAGCTTTTCCTCACTATGCCCTACTTTGTCCTAGTGATAATGACAGTATACCAGGATCTTTTAGAATTCTGTCAAAACTGTCTACCAGTAATATTTCACTCCATTAGATTCAACCACAGTCTTATGTGGTGGGACAAGAAACCCAATTCCTGAGAGGGTCCTACACTTTTCCACAACCCCTTTCCTCCTAGGCTTCCAAATTCTCATGCAAATGTTTGTATAAATTAACCACTAAGGGCTCCCCCTGTAGTTGCCAGATGCTCCCTGGCACAGTATAGACTCAAGCCATAGCCCTCTATAAGGCTGTTTCTTCCAAGACTTTTTTACATTAAAGTAAACTTCCAGGTTCATATAACTTGGTATATTGATGAAAAATATCTTGGCTATATTGTTTGTTTTAGAAAATTGCAATGTCTTATTAGTTCCACCATGATACAATAAGAACTCTTTAGGTATAAAAGAACTATTGAATCATTTTATTCAAGACACAAAGGAATTTTTCATGAAATTGATACAACTTATACAGATCAATCAAATGTGAATTATAGCCTACTTAAAACTTTATCTTTGTACTGGCATATTTCTAGAAACTGGCATATTTCTAGAAACTTATGTGTGAGTTTAATTAATTACATTTTATTGACATGAGTGAGGCTAAGGCACATCTCTTTTGGGAAATACCAAGATTTCCTTATTATGTTTTATAGCCTTTACTACCATAATTGCTTTTGTATAACTATATAGTTACATAATTATAGATGTTTAGTTTTAATCATACAGGTCAAACTTAACTAGAATTTTGCTCAATAATACTTTTCTTTCTCACATCAAGTTTAATAACCAGTCAAGCCCATTTTACCAGTTATCTAAAAGTAGTGCATCAGAAACACACATCAGCCTTACTAAACAGTAAGAACTGTAACAATTCTTGATTCTGACTAAATGAATTTCAACTACATGTATACTTGAGCCTAAATAATTTGGCAGTATAGCATATTAGAATCTAGAAATTAGTAGGACATAAATCTATGCTTTTTTACATGAATTTAACATCTCTATTGACCTGTGACCTTGAAATGAAACATTTTAGTTCAATTCGAACCTGTCACAATTAGGTTGATAACTAGTAAAAAACTAGACCCATTTTATTAAACTTACCTCATTAACTTGTTTTTTGTCCAGATGAAACACTTGACCAGAACTTGTAGAGGCAATTTCTTCATAGACTTTATATCCAATGTGGTCCCTGTCATCACAATCTCCAGTCAGCACAAACACCACCTAATCAAAAGGGGGAAAAAAAAAAAAATAGGACAGTTTAAGGGGTGTCCAGAAATTAAACAGTACATATTTATTCAATACTTATTATATCTTATATACTATTAAGCAGTTGGTATATATAGACAGACAGACAGAGAGAAAGCTAGTGAGCGTTGGAATGCTCCTTAGAGGCAAGAATGGCCAGACTTCATTTTTCACATTTTGGTCATATTATCAGAAGGGACCAGCCCTTGAGAAGGATATTATGATGGATAAAGTATAGGGTCAGCAAAAATAGGGAAGACCCACAGTGACATGGATTGACACAATGGCTACAACTATGGCCTCAAGTACGGCAATGATTTGTGACGATGGTGCAAGGCCAGGCAGTGTTTCATTCTGTACCACATAGGGTCTCTATGAGTTGAAGCCAATATGATGGCTTCACTCCACCTAACAACAAAATATATCTGTTTATTTATTTATTTATTTATTTACAGTTATGGGTATATGAGTAAACATGTTAAAAATGAACACACACAGGGACATAATTATTTACATTTCAAAAGTATAAACTACAGGCTATGGAATGCAGGTGAAACAATGACTGTGCTAAATTACATGATTGCCTCAGTTCCTCATCTGTTCCTGTTCCTATGCACTGTGCCATGTGATTTTTCAGTTCCTCTAATCAAAGTAGTGAGCGTAGTGAGCTTATTTTTATCTTCTGAGTTTGAGCATGTGACTCGATCTGGCCAATAGCATGAGGCACAAGAGTCATTCTACCAGTTCTGAGCCTAGGCTCAAGAGGCCTTTTATATTTCTGCTTAGTCTGGTATTTCTGCCAAGACCATGAGAAGGACATGGCTCAATTATACTACTGCTCTAAACAGAGGATGAGAAACCTGTGAAGCACGCCACTCCAGAGCCCAGCGTAGACAAACCAACCCCAAACCATTCCCAGTTATACAAGCATGAAAGCCTAGCCTCGATCAACTGAACCCCATAAAAATGTGAGCAATAAATGCTTATTCATTGAAGCCATGAGTGTTGGGACAGTTCATTATGCTGCCATAGCTACCATGGAACAATAATAAACTCTGACTCAGCAAAATTCCACATTGGAGTTGGTATTTGAAATATAGGTCTTTCTTGTTAGAGCTCAGTTATAAGGATAAAATGTTAATAAGCATCTCAACTAATCTCCAATCATTTCTTCTCTTTCTTAATAAAGAAGGCTTTCATGGCTCCAGAAAGTCTGGATTCCCTAAAAATTTGAAATTCTGTTCTGTATTTTCCTTCTTTTGATTGGGATTCTTCTATAGAATCTTTGATCAAAATGTTCAATAATGATAACCAGGCACCATCCAGTTCTTCTAGTCTCATGGCAAAGGATGCAGTTGTTCATGGAGGCAGTTAGCCACACATTCCATTTCCTCCTCTTATTCCTGATTCTCCTTGTTCGTATATATCTCTAGGCAAATAGACACCAATTACTGAGACTTGGACGGCTGCATGTAAGCTTTTAAGACCCCGGCACTACAAAATGAGTTAGGAGATGGAATAGAAGTAATAAGCATGGTATTAGGTCAATTAACTGTGATGTCCCACGAAATCATGACCCTAGCCCTCCAAATGAAGAAACCAAATTCCATGATGAGATGGGATAAATGCCCAAAACTACTGTACTGAGATAATCTTTAAACCTTAAACTTTAAGCCAAAAATATTCCCTAAAGTTTTTGTAAAAACAAATAATAATTTAGCTTAACTGGCAAAGAATGTTTGGCTTGAGCATTGTGTTCTTTTAAGATCTATATGAGATCAATTGTAACTTGAAAGGTTAGATGGGAAACTTAGGGGGCAGTAACTTTTTGTTAACGGGAGAGGAAGAGTTGAGAAAGGAGGGTGAGAATGGTTGTACAGCTCGAGGAATGTAAATAGTGTCACTGAATTGTGCATGTAGAAATGGTTGAATTGGTGTATAATTTTACTGAGTACATTCTCAACAAAAAAATAAATTTCAAAAAATATTATTTTATATATAAAAAACAAGGCTTTCACATGGTATATACAAAGATCACACATAAGTTTAATATTTTAAAATTAAATGACACATACATAGAAAAGTACAAATATTTGGAGTGACAGTTATAATTATTATTATTTGCCCACAGATGAATAATCAAAGAAGAGAGAAACTCTGAGTTATTTATTTTCTCTTACATGCTATATTCAGGTGAAAATGTTTTGGAGTTGCTTCCTACTCACTTGTGACTGTTTCTGCTGGATAAGCTGAAGAACCTCATGGGTGAGCCGGTAATCTTTGGACCGTGCATCCGTGAAAACATAGATGAAAGAGCCAGGAAGAGAAATTTCCAAGGCAATTTTTATAGCTCCGATACTCATTTCTGGACAATCACCACCACCCTGTTCGGGAGCAGAGAAACAAATGCAATTATTTCATCAGCAAGGAAAAAAGAGGCATTTTAGTTGTAACAAGTTGTCTTGTTGTTGTTGTTATGTGCCATTGTCTTAGGAACTTTAAACCCTAAAATTTCCTATTAGATTAGTCGCTTTCGTGGGGAGGGATATGGCAAAGACATAAAGTGATGTGGAAAATTCATCCAAAATACAAAAAAATAACATCTGCTAGATATTGTTTAGTTAATTTAATGTCCATTCACTCTCTCATTCTTTTACATGATTAAGACCTCCCCTCTCTTCTCATCGATTCTGACTCTTGTTTGATGACTTCGCTTCTTATTGTACTCAATTTGAACATGTTGTATTTGTAGTTTTATATAGTATTTTTTGCAATTTAAGATTATGCCTTTGTTTCTATGTAATCAATGTTCTTCCACAGGTTTTAATGTGAACATTCATTCACAGGTTCTAATGATTTTATGCTATGTCTATATTTCATAATTTAGTGAACTATTTCTCTATTGTTAAAGATTAATGCTATTTCAAATTTTCCTCTATTACAGATAATATAAAACCAAACCAAACTCACTGCCATCATGTCAATATGACTCATAGTGAATGCTCCTTGGGTTTCTGAGGTGGTAGGTATCTCTGTGGAAGTAGATTGCTCAACCTTCCTTCCAAGGAGTGGCTGGTGAGTTTGAACCACCAGCCTTTTGGCTAGCAGTCAAATGCCTTAGTTCCTGTGTGGTACAAATAGTTGAGCACTCAGCTACTAACTCAAAGTTGCTGGTTCAAATCCACCTAGAGATTCCTGAGAAATAAGGTCTAGCAATCTACTCCCAAAAGTTGCAGCGATTAAAAACCCTATGGGGTGCAGTTCTACCCTGAAGCATATGTGGTTGTCATGAGTCAGAATCTACTTGATGGCAAGTGGCAATTGATTTTGTTTTCTTTATGTACAGTGAAATCTGTGAGAGCCAGAATTCAATGGGACTGTCTTGTCTTTCCAAGTCTCACAAGTTTTCAGCCTTTGATAAGGTGCAGTCATCACTTTTCTAGCACTCTCTATTAGTGGAAAATATTTGAGTCTTCCTTCTCTGTCAGGCTTTCATTTTATACGGGTTCCAGATTTAAGCTTTACTGTATACATATATGTAACTCATGCATGTTATTTCCTTAGCATACATGTTAATAACTATAGGGTCAAGGGAATGGACTATGAACCAAAATGTTTTGAGCAACTAATAACTTCTAAACACACAAGTGCTTTAACCACGGCACCATCAGGGCTCTCTGTTAGCATTACAAAGATGAATAAGCTAAAGTATCTTGTCCTTGATTTTCCAAGTCCAAGATGGCAGACTAGGCAAATACACTACCCAAATCATCTACAACAAATTCTCAAAAAAGAAACAAGGGGAACTGCTACAGATGAAAATCCTGGGTCCCAATGCTACAAAAGAAAAGATAAAGAAGTAGATCAATTATTGATGAGAGGAAGAGGCTGAATGAAAACAGTGAACAAGGAGTGATATACTGCTAATCCGTTCAGCACAACCATTTTGAATTATCGCAAGCAGCATTCCAATAGAAGCAGGAACTAGATAACCAGCTCCAATTGCCCAAGACTGCACCACCACTCACACTGGTGATCAGGTGACCAGAGAGGTATGTCCTCCCCCTTTACCTTGCACAACCTCCCAGTGACCAGACACATGGCCATCCCCACTCCCACCTACCCTGTAGCCAGTCAAACTGCCCCCACTGCCAGTGCAGGACCACTATTTTTCTTTAAATCTTTCTGCTTAGTTCTTCAGTCCTTCCATCTATCTTCCCCAGAGAGCAGGAGTCCCTCCCCTACTGCCTATGCAGTCAGTGGCATTTTGTCCCTGCCTCTCCCTGGTCAGAAATGAATACTCTGACGCAGCCATGTTTGGTGGCTGGCACTTTTGGTGGCTGGCACTTTTGGTGGCTGCTTTATCTATTGTGCTGCTTTTATTTTTTTCCCCTCCTTTGGGTTTTGTTGTTGTTGTTCTTAGTTCTTCCCTCTTCTCCCCCTTGATTTCACTTTCTTTATTTTCTTCCTCTCCACCTTATCTTTCTTCTTCTTCTTTTCTTTCCTTTTGTTCTTGCCTCCACGTCTGTGGTCAGCAGCACCTGCCCCCACCCCTCCATGGACAGCAATGTGAGTGCTCCAGAAGCAAGCTCCCCATTCCTGCTGCAGCTATGCCTGGCAACTAACACTTATACCAGTTTTTTTTTTTTTTTTTTCTCTCTCTCTCTCTCTTTTCTTTTTCTTTCTCCCCATGTTCTCTGTTCTTCCCTCCCCCCTTGTTTTTTTTCCTTTTATTCTTTGTTCTTTTTTTCTGACTTTCCCATGCCATGATTTTTTTCTTTTCTTTCGTCTTCCTTTAAAAAAAAAAAAAAAATCTGAGTACCTTGCCCCTCACCACTCTGTGTTCAGCAGTGCTACCTCTATACTCCATATTCAGTGTTGTATGCTCCCATGGAGCAAGTGCCACATTTCCACCACAGCCATGTTGGGAGGATATCACTTGTGTCAATACTGTGTCACATTTATTTCTTGTGTTTTTGTTGTTGTTGTTATTTTTGGTTGTTTTCTTCCTTTTCTCTTACTTTCTGTCCTTCCCCCCACCCCTTAGGTCTCCTCTCTTCCTCTCCATTTTTTTTTCCTTTTTCTCTCCTTTCTCATATCTCCCTCCCTATTTTTTTTTTCTATCTTTCCAGAGCAGTTGGGAGTCAGTGACTCTTCCCAACCATACTCACCCACACGTTCTGCCCCCACCCACTGGCCAAGTGCCACCACATGCTCCAGCACTAGTGGACCATGAGAGATGGTGGCCAACACCCACACAGGCTGCCCTCAGCTATTCTGCATAATCAATGACCAGAGGCTGGTGCCCACACTCCCACCTGCTACCAAATCAGTCCATAGACAGGTAGTGAGTGCACCAGTGCTGCCAAACTGGTGACCAGAGTAACAGGATCTCCCTGTTGCCTGGATATATTGAAACAGAACAACACAAAAAAATCAGGGTGAAGTAAACCAACATATAATCAATAAATTAATAAAATAACCGTACAATGTCTCAGAGACAACAAATAACTTCTAATCACGCACACAAAATAACAAGACATGATGCCTCAAACAAGGGAGCAAAATACAGGGCCAGAAAACCTTCTGGAGGAAGAAATGCTAGTGGAATTACCTGATAAGGAATTCAAAGCAATTCTATTTAAGTACCTTCAACAGATTAAAAGTTTGAGGAAACCACAGACAAAATCAAGGAAAACACAGAAAAAACTCTGTAAGAATTAAAAAAAAAAAAAAGAAAGAAACAAATCGACAAAATAAATGGAAAAGTAGAAACCATAAAAAAATAACAAATAGGAATCCAAAAGACTAATATTAAATCTCAAAAATGGATAATGCATTGGGAGGGAAAAGGAGTGGAACTGAATCAATGGAACACAGAATTAGCAAGATTGAAAACAAATCTCGTAACACCAATCAGTTGGAATAACAATCAGAAAAAAAAAAAAAAAATCACAAAATAAAGAAAGCTTAAGATTCATCTGGGACACCGTGAAGAAGAATAACTTATGTATAACTAATATTTCAGAACAGTAAGAGACAAAAAAAAAAAAACAGACCAAGAAAATTGTTGAAGATTTGTTGGAAGAAAACATTCCCAATATCATGGAAGATGAGAAGACATGTATTCAAGAAGCTCAACAAACCCCAATTAGGATATACCCCAAAAGAAAATCACCAAGATATATTATAATCAAACTTTCCAAAACCAAAGACAGAGTCTTCAAAGTGGCTCAAGAAAAACAAGTCACCTGCAAAGGAGAACCAATAAGACTAAGCTATGATTTCTTGGCATAAATCATGCAGGAAAGGGGGCAATGGAGTGATATATATAAAATACTGAAAGAAAAAAATTGCCAAACAAGAATTATTTTTTCCCCAAAATTGTCTCTCAGATACAAATTAGGACATTCTCAGATAAATAGAAATTAAGAGACTTTGCAAAAACTTAAACAATTTTTTAAGAAGTGCTTAAGAGAGTCCTTCAGACAGAGAACCACCAACAGCAAACAATAATCAGAGATTAAGGCTTTTGGCAACATCACCTGGATATCAACCCAGATATAGAAGTATCAAAAATAAAATAAACCTGTAAGATGGAAAACAGAGAACCAGAGATGCCAATTTGCAAGTAATGATAACTACAAAGCAAAAAGAGAGAATAAATGATGTAGTTACAGAATTTCCAAATTGAGAGGAAGTCAAGGCAATATAGAGATAGAACAGACTGCACTAAACTTAGAAAGAGAATATTAAATTACTTTGTAACCTCAAAGAATATTAATAAGCCTTCACATGAAAATAAAAAAGAAGAAAATCATAAAGTTTCAGTAAACACTAAAACTGTAGCAATGAAAGAAATGATAAGAAAATCCATAAACAAAATGCTCAGCACAGAAAAATAGTGGAAAAAGGAAACCATCAATATCACACATAAAAATATAGCCAAATGGCAACAGTAAATTCATACCTATCAATAACTATATGAACTTAAAGTCATAACATAAGAGAGTGCCAGAATGGATAAGAAAACATGATCCACTAACATTCTGTTGACAAGAGACACCCCTTAGACACACAGAAAAAGAATAAGTTAAAAATCAAAACATGGATAAACATATCAAGCAAATGCCAACGAAAAAAAAAAAAAGAGCTGGAGTGGCAATATTAATTTCTGATAAAGTAGACTTTAAGGCAAAAACCAGCAAAAGAGACAAGGAAGGACATCATACAACAATTAAAGCACCAATCAAACAAGAGGACATAACCATAATAAATATCTATGCACCCAATGAAAGAGCCCCAAAGAATATAAATCAAACTTTACCAGAATTGAGTGGAGAAATAAACAACTCCACAATAATAGTATGAGACTATATAAAAC